TCTTCACCATCGCAAATCGCAAGTGCCTCCTCGTCGAACAGAGAGCGAGTGGAATGGTATGCAGCGCGAGTGTAGACAGAGCCGTCGAAGAGCACTTGCCAACTAGCCATGGCAAAGTGAGCAGAAAGCAGAGGGGAATGTGAGAAGAAGAAAGGGAACTTTAAGAAAGAAAGACGACCAAAAAGGGGCCCTCCTTTATAGCACGAGAAAAACAAAAAGGTTCCTGTGTTCCAGAGGAGCTCCGTGTCCGATTTGTTGCGGTTCCTGCGAATCATTGAGAATCCCAAAGTTTAAAGAAAGTTTATTGGGCGCTTGTGTCTAAAAATAGATTTTCGGAGGCTTTTGACTGGACGTGCGTGAGATGCATACTATAACGAGGAAAACGTCGGTGTGGCGGACATTGACACCTTCAGGAAGTGTCAAAATATGTCAGTCGATCCTGGAAAATCTTGGCGATCCGTCGCTACAATATGAGAACGTGTGAACCACAAGACAAAGTCCAGAAAAAGACGTCCTCAGAAGGGAATCTTGCAATGACCGAGGACGGTCAGTATTATAGTGGGGGGGAGATGATACGGATGAAACCATTTCACCCGTATAAAATTCGATTTCAACGATTTTACCGATAAAGGTCGTCTCTAATAAATACACTACATACAATTGCAATGATACAAAGAGTCGATGCGCATACCCGGCGCAGTTGACTAAAAATGCAAATGCGTGGAATCTGAAAATAGGACAAAGGCTTTGGAACTGGCAGCAGTACGTGTCGTGACATTATACTTGGATCCCATCTAAGATTCACCTACCATGAAATAGAGCACGGAGAGGTTCTAGAGTAAACACCCAACGCAGGGAGAAGAATTGCATTACTACTCAAGGGTTTAGAAACACATAATGGATTTATTGTGAAAACTCGTGCTTATACAAGAAATACAGAAAAGACGACATAGACGCCTAAATGGCATGTCTGAAACATGGAAAGACTAAACTACACCTAGGTAGTAGACGTATGAAGACTTAGCGTGGCTCACGGCCATTCAGAAAGTCATGTACGGCAGTTCCCGCGTACGCATCAAAGACTGATGCGTCTGAACGTCACAAGTACAAACATGAGAAAAAGACACATTCTATTATATGAAATATAATAAGAACCCCCTGACAATTAAGAAAGACATTTGAAAACACCTTTGGAGTGTCTCCCGACCTCCGTAATGAAAAGACGAGCCAAGACAAGGCATTTTAATTAAAAACTCGGAAGCGACGGAAGGCCGAAGACTATTGGTAAACGCGTACGCATGCGCATCAACGCATCAGGAAACGTTAATCATTTTGTGATGTCATCTGTCAAACCGGTAAACCGGGCCATAGAAAGAAACACGTGAGATCATGCCAAGCTAAGAATAGCTATGTCGGCTAACTCCGCGTACGCATCAAACACTGATGCATTTGAAAATGAAAGACGCGACACTACAAAATCTGTAGTGTTCACAGAGATAGACTACAAAATATACCACTCGTTCATTAAATTTCATATTTGTAATTCGGACCGAAGTATCCCGCTTTAAAACACATGTAAAACGTAGATAGGGGTTCCTGGAGTATATAAGGAGCGCGCTGGCAGGTCAAAAAGGAAGCAATCGTCCCCCGTTGACCAGCTAGTTGCACTCCAAGTAGAGACTTAGGAGGTGGACAGTTGTAATCAATTAAAGGAGATTTCTTCGTGGTCAAGAAAAGTACAGTGTGAACGAAGCCAGCGTGCTTGGGAGTCAACTTGCTTGGAGACTTTTGAATAAGAGGTTTTAAGGACACAGTATCATTTTAGACGAGACAGCGTACTCGTACCCTTGGTTTTGGAGCATAGTGACATAATAAAAACTCACGGGAGTCATAAAAGTCAATTAAAGTCGTGTTTTGTGTTAATAAAAGAAACTGTGATCAAAGAACTTTGCATTTAAGAGACCAAGTTCCCAGAAAGATATACTTTGTTCTATTGAACTATTATAAACCACACCTTATAATAAAAACCCAATTTTGAACGAAAACTCTTGAGACTTGAACCTAAGAAGACAAAAGTGGTATTTCTTAATACCAAAGGCCCTCGAACTCTTGCACCGAGATTGTGATAGTGTGTGTGTGTGTGTGTGAGTGAGTGTTAGGTGTTTAGGGTTTTCCCCCGAC